TACGTTGCCCAGGGTGTACTACGTGGAGGTAAGTCTATCATACACCCCTGTATACTGACAAAGAAACCGTCTTTTTGTTTCAAATTCAAATTATTTAAAGCTCTATATTTGTTTGCCTGATTTGTGCACTCTACCTTACACATTTCTATTCTCCTTTTACCATAGGGATTAGCAAAGAGCCTAGGGCCGTGAAGACACTGTCCTGGTCTCCAGATGGCTACTGTCTTGCTGCTGCTTGGAGTACTCATGGATTGGCTCTTTGGAGTGTATTTGGTTCCCTCCTCTACTCAACATTCCTCGATCAAACGGAAGTTACTCGGTTTCTTGCACCTCTTAATTTTGTAAGTGGTCATCTGTATTTTACAAATTTTATTGCTAGCGTGTTTCAGTCATTCATAATTCAAGGTATTCAAGCAATCTCTATTTTAGCAGCTTTCTACGTCTTTCAGTTAGTCCCTGACTTTGGAACAAAACACTTCTTGAAGATGTCATAATGGGAGCCAGCTTTTATCACATACTACCAGTAACTCCTATTTGGTTCTAGTTCCCATTCCGTGTCCGGGGATATATGAGGGGAACCGAGGTTGATGGTTACTAGTGATGAAGGTTAAAAAGTCTAGTTAACTTTAAATTCCGCGTTGGGTTCGAATGGCTTTGGGCACAGATCAATAGTCAGTCCACAATAGACTGATTGTCAGTCTAACCTCTATTATTAGCTGAGCTTCTTATTCACTCAACAGATGGGATTGTACTGTTTTGCATCCTACTCTTATTTCACTTGCACTTTGATCGCGATAAATTTTTTTCTGATATAATGAAAGTAAAGTAGAAAAAATGCTCTAGTAATGCAGCCTAACTTGTAGTTGTCTTACAAGAAATGTAATTCGTCTTATTTTGTCATTCCCACCTGGTAAGCAAAAGATCAAGTAAAAATTCTGTTTAGGAGCTGTAGGATTTGTGTTATCTCAAATGAAAGTAACTAGTCCAAAGCTGTTATGCCCATGGATGAATATCAAGTCTCCACTGGTGGTAATCCAGGCTTCACTTAAGATGATAGGGAGGTCGAATCGGAAATAAGCTAATGCATTGTCTAGTTAGTTTTGGAAAGGCATAGTCGATATTTGATTATTCATTGTATTGATCGAGCCAATACCATCTTAGACTAAGGTAACCCTAGTGGAGTATTGAAGTTTAATTAAGGAAACGTAGAAGTAGAAAGGACATTAGCTATAAAGCAATTAGATCGTTTGGGTCTTGTTTTAAGAAAAGATGAGTTTTAGCTCTTAATTGTAAAATCATTGCTCGACTATAGTAAACAAAAGTTGTTTACATCCATTAGTGGTCCCCCACTTATCACTCTTCTTGGCTTGGATCCTTTTGTAAGTGCTGTAGGTGTTTGTTCATAGACTGATTTTCATAATTGCATGTTTTACTTTCTTCAATTTAATTTATTTCATATCTTTAGGCACTTATTTTTTTGGAAAGTATTTGTTCTTGAAATGTTTTTCCCCCTATTTTTAGTGCTGGACACTGAAGGGCTTCCGTCTATGGACCATCTCCTCTTTCGTAGATGATCCAGATCGACGTGAAAGAGAGGAGTACCTCAACGCTTTTCGAGAACGTCTCCTTAGCAGTTGTAACGCCCTTCCACAAACTCAGCGCCAAATTGCAAAGAATGTGGCCAAAATGCGTTCCGATTTGCATTTAGACGACAGTGGAGATTATGAGAATGGAAGCAAAATCTCTACCAATGGGAAATCCACTTTAGAAAAGAATCGAAACTTTCTGATGGTCTTTCATCTTGCCAAATCCGCCTTAGCAGCTAATCCAACTGTGGTCAGTTTAAATTTCCTGTAGAGATGGTGCAATTTTAGAAGTATTTTTCTTACATAATCTTTTTGATTCATTTTAGGATAATCATCTTCATTTACTGATGCATACAGCAGATTCTATTTATGTTACTGTTCGTCGATTTCTGCATTCCCGAAGAAATATGCTTGTTGTGCCTCTTCCACCAGAGTACATCAGAACTAACTTCCCTCTCAAGGTATTTATGCTTTCTTAATGTTTTTTTTCCCAAGTAGATTATCACTTATCTTAAAGTAAAGTTCGCATTTATCTTCCTAATATTTTGTAACAATTTTAAATACGTTTTGCTGTCATTGTAGTTGCCATATTTGTACTCCTCAATTCTTTCTCCATCAAGTGAATTTGGAATCTGAACTGTATAGTCGTCGTTTTATAACTTTTCTTAAATTGATTCCGCATATGCTCAATTTCCTTCCCAGATTTCTATGGTATAGAATGAATCGAGATGAACTGTTATAATTTCTTTCGTGATTGAATTAAAGCTTCGGCTACTTGACCTAGACCCAGTGTCAATAGTAACGGAGAAGGTAGAAGGCAAATTATTCACTTAAAATTTCAGTTTCTCAATCGTTTGGTTTAGTCTAACTCACGTTTTTCAATACATTATGCTCTTTCAAATTTTCCAGATGATGGCTTTGTGCCTAGTGTCTTAATTGTCTATTCCGAGACAACATATACTTCCTAGAATTGAATCATATTATGTCTATTGATTTCTGAGTGTGCAACCCCACAAGGTGCTTGTTTGTTATTGAGAGGGGGGGGGAGGGGGGGGGAGGAGACGTTGAAATTTGTTATTTATGTATTTTCTTGAATTTGAATTTCTGATATATTACTAATAGTCATAGAGATATTTACAGTTTATAATACTAATGAGAATGTACAATCAGTTCTAAAAAATACTTCAATTTGCATGCAAGTTGTTGAAGTTAAAGTTGGTGCCTTAAAATGTAGTGGCATTGTTAAAAGTGATGTCCTTACCTTCTAAAAACTTTTTTGCTGTCTTTGTATCATTAAAGAGTCGAGAAATTGAAACAATTTTACCTTTTTATTCTTAAGATTTTTTTATTTTTTGCCCAACCCTTGTAGTTCGCGGCAATTAATCCAGAGGGAAGCCAAGTGGCTGTAGCGGGATCGCGGGGATTTTCCCTCTGTGTCTTGTCAACTCTACAATGGCGTCTTTTTGGCAACATCACTCAAGTAGGTGCTTCTTTGTATTCACATTAAATTCTAATTTGCTTATGCACTCAACATTGCTAATTCACGCTTTGGGTTATGGTTAGGCGTTACTTTTCTTAAAACCCTTGGTCACTAACACTCTTCGAATTCCTCTTTAGAAACACAATTGGCTATTAAATGTCGTAATTGTTTAAACTTCCCATTTAAGGGTAATATCTTTCTTGGCGATTCATATACGCTGGTTGGAGGTAGATTTTTCGAGTTGTTCCTTGGCCTTAAATAATTTTTTTCGGGATTTCTCTTCTTATTCAGCCACAGTTGGCTTTCATTTTCTAGCTCAGTGTATTTTGTTCTTCGTTTTCCATAGGACTGCATGATTTTTGTTTGTATAAAAATTATTATATTTTCTTTACCATCCAATTATAAGACTGAAACTCAATGGAACTGATCGAATTAATAATTCTCAACTTTTGCGCATTGAAATCACAGTATAACATCTAGCCATTTTAGATTATTAGGTTAGAATTTACTTGGGCATGTGCAAGATTCATTGAACTGGAAAGCTGAAGCGATATTTATGTTACATTTGAATTGCACAAACATCACTCGCTGCAAGGATTATGCAAACAGGAGATCAGATCACCTTCGTTAATAAAGTTTGTCTATTTTTCCTCTTATCGTAATCCTGTATTAACCGGCAGTTGACTTCTGACTTCATACTACCATGGCCCG